GAAAGATGAGGCTTTCTACTCCCGTAAAGATTTACACCCTCGGAAACCCTGTACAGGGTCGCTATGGGTCGGAACCGACTCGATGGCACTTAACAACAAACAACAACAAATGTGTCATTTTATGAGGCTGGAAAATACTCTCACTACTCTATGGTTGGAGTCCTGGTGTGGCGCCATGGGTTAATGCACCAGAATGCAAAGCCATTTGAAGTACAAGGTCAGTTGTTCAAGCTCACCAGTCACTCCTTGGAAACCCTATACAGGGTCGCTATGGGCCGGAACCGACTCGATGGCACTTAACAACAACAACAACAACTATATGGTTATACACTAACTCCCTGGATTATAAATGTCCAAGTTACAAACAACTCATACTTGTCTTTAGTTGTGGTTAAATACAATCAAGTCAATTCTGACTCATAGGCAAACTACATAGGGTATACAAGGTTTTTTAATTTTTGTGGGAGCAGTAAACCTCATCTTTATACCTATGGATGATATCATTTTATTTTAACTGGGCACATTGGGAACATTACAAAAAAATTCACGAAGAAGGTGTTTTCTTGCTCTGTTTACATGCATTAGTTTCAGAGATTTTTGCACTGTTAAGACACAAACTTTCTGTGTACTTTCAGTAATACATTTCATTAGTGCTTTTTTCAATTTCATTCCTTCAGATTACATGTGTACATATTCAAAAGACATATTATGTATCAAAATAAGTGAGTATATATCATCAACTACTGTAATGCTTTTAGCCCTTTACAAAATGTGAAGTAAAAATTAATACCTCTTAGTAAGTAATTTAATATATTAAGTAATAAAACTTCCACATTGGAACCAACTGTATTTTTCTCCGAAGTTATATAAACAAAAATAAGTTATTTTTATTGGTGGACTGGTAGATATGTATCATTATTTTGCAGTTACTGGCTGATCTTGAAAACAGCTCCATGTTTTCTGGTGATCTTGAATGTCAAAAGCTTCTGATAGAAGCTATGAAATATCATCTCTTACCTGAAAGACGACCCATGATGCAAAGCCCTCGGACCAAGCCTAGAAAATCAACTGTGGGGGCACTTTATGCTGTGGGAGGCATGCATGCAATGAAAGGTAACAGGAAAAAAAATAATTATAGTAAGTGTCTTCATTCCCAGAAAGATGGTATGTTAGCAACATTCTTCAGCTTATGAGGGCATGTTTAAAAAAAGTGGTTCCAAAACTAATTTTCACAATTAGGGAACTCTATGATTTTGTGGCTTCATTTATCTTCTACATTATAGAACCTAGTCCTTTTATTTTGCCTAAACTCTTTAACAAGCAGTTTTATCTCATGGAAGCAATTTTTAAAATTGGGTATTAACTTTGCAGTATTAAATAATTTATAGAAAACTTACTAAAGGTTTATTATATGGAAGAAACATTTTTTTCAATTTTGTTTTTTGACAGAAACAAGTGTTCTGCAGCTTCTTGCTGGTAGTTTCCTTGGATGAACAAAGATCAGTTACAAAGATTCTTGTAATGCTAATTATAAAATCAACAATTCAAACGTGGAATGAAGTAATGACTTTAAGAATATTATCAAAGACAATGAAGAAAAGTTTATGAAGCCATTATTTTTACCCTAGATCCCTCTTGTTTTTAAGTGCTGTTGAGTAAATTCTGATTCATAGCTACCCTGAATAGGGTTTCCAAGGTCTTAAAATTAAACAAACTTTGCAGGGATAGAAAGCCTAATCTTTCTTCCACAGAATAGCTGGTGGGTTCAAACTGTCAACCTTGTGGTCAAGTGCTTTTCCTATGGAGACACTGCACTCCCAGATCCTTATTTGAATCTAGCATTGTAAAAGTCTACTTGTTTAACACTTATTTCTCAGTCTGTGGATCTGTGTTGGGAAAAAAAGAAAAAAGATAAGATAATTTTATAACTAAGAACTGTCTGTGTGGAAATTAAAATGAAGTATCCTAAAGTTTGTCACATCATTTGTAGAAATTTCTTTTGAAAACTTGCAGAAAATTATGTAAAAGTCAAAGTTTTGTGCTGTTGGAAATCTATTCTTTTGATATGTGTAATTGGAAAATAGACAAGTGCATAGGAAATAGGCACTATTTGCCAGTTAATCACATACCTACAGGAGCTCTGGTAGCGTAGTGGTTACGAATCGGGCTGCGAACCTTAAGGTCAGCGGTTCGAAACTACCAGCCGCTCCGCGGGAGAAAGATGAGGCTTTCTACTCCCGTAAAGATTTACACCCTCGGAAACCCTGTACAGGGTCGCTCTGGGTCGGACCCGACTCGATGGCACTTAACAACAACAGCAACAACAACAGAACAATAGCTTGGTAATGCAATTATTTCCAAACCTGTAGGGTTACTTCACAGAACTAGTGCTTTTAAGAAAAGAACAAGACAGGATGCTATAATTAATTCAAGTCTAGCAACTTTCTATTTTATTGCATTTTGTTGAATATAATGAATATTAATATAAGTTTATAAAGTTTCCTTTTTTGGTATTTAAATTAATCCAAAAAAGAAAAAAAGCTGCTATCAAGTTGATTCTAACATTTAACAATGCCAGGTGTTACAGAGTAGAACTATACTCCATAACATTTTCATGGCTGTGGACTTTCAATAGCAGATTGTTGTTGTTGTTGGTAAGTGCTGTCAAGTTGGTTCTGACTCATAGAGACCCTGTATAGGGTTTGTGAGAATCGGCTGCTAAGCTTGAACTACCTACCGTATAGTTCAAACCTACCTTGCAGTCCAGCGCAATAACCAGAAGCGGCATTCCAAGAGTCTTCAGTTAATAGTTGAGAAATTAACTGTTTGAACAACTATGTAACTCCAGATATTTAAATTAAAATGATAAAATCCATTGCCATTGGGTCAAATCAAGCTCACAGCACTCCTATTTAGGGTCCTGAGACTGTAATTTGTATAGGAACAGATAGTCTCATATTTCTCTTGTGTAGCATCTGGTGAGGTTGAACTGCTGACTTTCAGTTTAGTAGTCCAATACCTAACCCATAGCATCATTATTGTTATCATTGTTGTTGTTAAGTGCCATTGACTCATAGCAACCCTGTTTATGTTTTCAAGGGAGCAGAAAGCTTCTTTCTCCTGTAGAGCAGCTGGTGAGCTCAAACTGTGAACCTTGTAGTTCTCAGTACAGTACTTACCCTATGGATTGCTTCTTTGGGTGTTAAGTACTGTTGAGTTGGTTCTGACTCATAGCAACCCTGTATAGTGTTTCCAAGATGCAGATAGTGGGTTTGAACTGTTGACCTTGTGGTTAGCAGTCTAGTGTTTATCCTACAGTGACACACCAGGGTTTTAAATGGTGTTAAGTGCTGGACTTTGAACCACAAGGTCAATAGTTTAAAACTATCAGCTGCTCCTCAGAAATCCTCTACAGGGTTTGTATGAGTCAGAACTGACTGGACAGTATTTAACAAAACAGCAAATATAAAATATGATCCTTGGTTAGTGAAAATGATTAAGGTCTGGATACTAGCTTAGAGATTGGCAGTTTGAATCCACCCAGAGATACTTCTTAAGATAGACCAGGCACATTGTTTACAAAAGGTCACAGCCCTAAAACTCTTAGAATGCTCTTCTACTCTATAGCACATGAGTTTGTCATGAGTGAGAACTGATTGAACAGCTTCTATAACAAAAAATATATATAAGACAAATACAGTAATTTTTAGTTTCTGAATTTTTAAAAAGCAAATTTTGAAATGAGAAATCCACCCTTTTTTTTGTTTTGTTTGTGGGCTCTCTTTTTCTCCCTATTATTATTATTTTTTTTTCAGGCTCCTTGCTTGTTATGTTTACTGAAAGGAATGCGTTTTCTCCTCTTTGTTGGTTTAATACGAGTGAATAATATGGACATGTAGTTACTGGTTTATATTACCACATTTTGGCAAGGAAGGAACTGAGGGCACCATTTTGAGATAATTAGAGTAAATAGTGTATGGAGAGACTATACAATATCTGTGTATCTGTGAGACATTGTAGACTGTTGTTGTTGTTGTTAGGTATGATTGAGTCAGTACCAACTTGGAGTGACCCTATGCACAAAAGAATGAAACACAGCATGGTCCTAGGCCAACTTCACAACTGTTGCCATACTTGAATTCATTGATGCTGCCATCTTGCCAGTCCATCTCGATGGAGGTCTTCCTCTCCTTTTCTGACCCTCCACCTTACCAAACATGGTATCCTACTTCAGCAACTGGTTCCTCCTGACAATATGTCTGAAATATGAGAGACCAAGTTTGGCCATCCTGGTCTCCAAGGAACACTCTAGCTGTACTGCTTCCAACACAGTTCTGTTTGTTCTTTTGGCAGCTCATGGTAATTTCAATATTCTCCTCCAACACCATACTTCAAAAGCATCAATTCTTCTACAGTCTTCCTTATTCACTGTCCAGCTTTCCCATTCATATGTGGTTATTGAAAATACCATGGTTTGTGTCAGGCACACCTTAGTCTTCAAGCTGACATCGTTGCTCTTCAACACTTCAAAAAGGTCTTGTAGACTGTTAGACTAGTTAAAACTACCTTTTTGAGTAACTGCTCCTTAATAGGCATTTTGCAAACATGTTTTCTAATCCTCACAGTTATGCTAAATGATAGATTTTATCACCTCTACTTTCCAAATGATGAAACTATAATTCTGAAAGTTAGAAAGCTATTTCAAGTGCAAATATTTAGAAAAACTGGAACTGAAATTCTTATTTAAATCCTGTTTTCCTTTATGTAACACTACCATGATTTTAGAAGAAACAGTAGCAATAACAAAACTCTTCTCTCTACTTGAGGATCCTAGGCCCTATTTAAGAAACGAATGGCTACTTAGTGACAAAAGCAAAAAAGAATGAATTTAAAGGAAAGAAGCAAAAGAAAGGAAAACTGAAAATTATTTCAAACCCAATAATAGTTGCAGAATTTATATAAATCAAGTATTTAATTTTTAAATGTATCAATATATATATATATATATATATATATATATATCACTTCACAAAAATATGAGAAAATTCCTACTCCCTATCTTTTAGTTTAAAGATACTTTCTGAACCTTTTGATATCTAGAAAGCACAGTATTTAGTTTTTAAATTCACTCTCTGACTCATACAAATATCTTAGAATTCGTTGTTAAATGTAGACATCACACAGATGTCTAGGGTTAACTACAACTCCTACCATGCGCATTGGAAGAATCATCAGGAAATTGTATTATGATTGTTTTGGTGCTGTTGTTAAGGGCCTTAGCGTCAGTTCAAACTTATAACGACACTGTATAGGGTTTCCAAGGAACGGCTTGTGTGTTTGAACTGCCGACCTTGCAGTTCAAACCAGCCTTTTGGTTCAAACCAGCCATGCAGTCCAGTGCTTTATGCGACAGCACCATACCAGGACACACACAAGTATGATTGTTGTTGTTGTTAGGTGCCATCGAGTCAGTACCAACTCATAGCAACCTTATGGACAGCAGAATGAAACACTGCCCGATCCTAGGCCAACCTCACAATTGTTGTCATGTTTGAGCTCATTGATGCTGCCACTTTGCCAATCCATCTCACTGGAGGTCTTCCTCTTTATCTCTGACCCTGCACCCTACCAAACATGATATCCTTCTCAAATGACTGGCCCATCCTGACAATGTATTCTAAGTATGAGAGACGAAGTTAGGCCATCCTGGCCTCCAAGGAGCACTCTGGCTGCACTTCTTCCAAAACAGATCTGTTGGTTCTTTTGGCAGCCCATGGCACTTTCAGTATTTTCCTCCAACACCATAACTCAAAAGCATCAATTATTCTACGGTCTTCATTAATTACTGTCCAGTTTTCACATGTATATGAGATTATTGGAAATACCATGGCTTGGGTCAGGTGCACCTTAGTCTTCAAGCTGACATCTTTGCTCTTCAACACTTTAAAAAGGTCTTGTGCAGCAGATTTGCATAATGCAATACATCGTTTGATTTCTTGACTGCTGCTTCCTTAAGTGTTGATAAGTGATCCAAGAAGAATGAAGTATTGGACAACTTCAATCTTTTCAACATTGATAAGAATGTTTTTTATTGGTCCAGTGGTGAGGATTTT